TTAAGTTGTTGACTATTTAAATTTTTCCCTTTGTATGTGTAGGACTACCTGATGGCGCTGTCCCTACAGCAGGAACAGCAGGCCTCAGACAAAGGGGGTTGGGAACAGATCCCAGAAGGCATCAGTGATCTAGAGCTGGCCAAGAAGCTGCAGGAGGAGGAGGACCGCAGAGCGTCACAGTACTATCAGGAGCAGGAACAGGCACAGGCAGCGGCTGCGCAGGCACAGGTGAGTTAATTAGCTGCACACGACAATAAATAAACACGCCACATTTACCTCAAATGCCAACATTTTCTTCAAAATATCAGCATATATTACACTTTGATCAATCTGACATAACATCACATAAATGTCATGGTGCTCCAGATTTGATGGGGGCTGCTGAAAGCCATTAGTTGTTTAAGAGGACAAATAAGACCTAGCAAACCATGAATGTGTAAATTTGCAATGAAACGACAGATTTCTTCTTCCATACAGTAACATACATCTGAGTGAAACAGGTTATTTTTAAAAAGATGAAGGGCAGGGACATTGTTCTACAGATCGATTGTTGATTGGATAGAGGCGGATCTGATTGCAAGAAATGGGGCAGGGTTTAAGTAGTATCAAGACAGTTCACTTGAAGTGAATTTGGGCAGAGTGCACCGGAAGGAGCATAGTTTGTGCTTGCTGTTTAATAATCATTTGAAACGGGCAAACTGGCAGCTCCAGTTGTAAGATTAAATGATTTATCTTGAACTCTGTCATGGAAATTATGTATAGACTAGTTAAACAATTAAATATTCAATTTACAATGAATTTATACCTGTGTTGTATTACGCTGTATTACACCGTGGATGAGCGCTTTGTAAAATAAATGGATGGATGATTCAGCAGTGGGCGCCATCTTCTGGCGAGATGTGGGAATTAATTCGGCACACGACTCCCACAGTGCATTATGGGTATTCTCTAGCCGTTGAGCGTGCACCGGTTGTAAGGTCGTTTTTGTGGTGCATTGTGGGATTGAATGAGTACACTCGAGAACATCCACTATGGTTTCGGACACCACTACAAATGGCTGTACCCTCAAATAGTGCCCTATTTAAGGGTATAGGGGTGATTTCGGATACAGCCTAAACGATTCGAAAAGTTTGGCATACATACATCGCCAGACAAAAGTTTGTAGTTTCAGTGGAAGATCAAATTATGACATTTTGATTGAAAATTTTTTTTTAACATAAGCATGGGCAGTGTTGAGATTACTTTGGAAATGTAATAGGTTACAAATTACAAGTTACCCTATTTAAAATGTAACAAGTAGTGTAACTATTTTAATTACTTTATTAATGTAACTGATTACATTTGATTACCTTTTGAATACTTTTCTAAATTTCTATTGTTTTCAACTGTGAATCATTTTCAAACTTTTAAAGCAGGCAGGGTTAACCTTACAGTAGTACTCAACAGTGATTACTGTCAGACTTTCCAAATCCTTCATCACTTGAATTAAGATTATAATAATTTAATTTAAAGCACGGCCACCACAAAATCAGACTTTAGCACCTCTTTTTACTTTGAGATCGTTCTGAGGTTAAATACAGATTTAAAATCATAAGATATAGTTTATAGCTATGATACTGCTTTTGAAATCAAATCTATGACAGGAAACACTGGCATCTAACAATGCCAATGGAAACAACAATGGAAAAACAGTTAATCTTAAAAAATAAAGCATACACATAAACCCAAATAGGAAATTAAAAAAAACATTGGTGTCTATATTTTAGAGCAGTCAATTTATGAAAGAAATCAATTAAATCTGTGTGTGAGTGAAAAAAATTTCAGATGTAACCCCCCTTGTAATTGTTAACATTTTCATAAGTAACTGTAATTTAATTAGACATTTTCTCTCAGTAACTGTAACTGATTACAGTTACATTTATTTTGTAATTAAATTACGTAATTCTTACATGTAACTAGTTACTCCCCAACACTGAGCATGGGTGAATCGGTTACAGTAAGATTAATAAAAAGCATTTAGAAACAAGAGGGTGAATTTTCATTTCATGCCCGATTTAAGGAGTTCAAATAAGAGGTTAATTTGTTCCCCTCCTGTCAGGGACAACAACCAGCAGCGGGTGCCGACCAGGTGGATAGAGCGGCAGCCGCTGGAGCCTCAGCGGGGGGAGCCACGGCTTCTCCAAGCCCAGGCAAACAGCCCTCAACGGGGGAACGCAAACCCAAGAAAGAAGCCAAGGACAAAGACAAATGCATCTTGTTGTAACAGCAGTGGACTCTGTGTGGAGTGCGAAACGGGCAGCATTTTAATTCCAGTGGCTCTGCAATGCATCTCCCAGCGTGAGGTGGAGAAAGAATAGAGATGAGAGAAGTGTGACAGACGGAGAAGACTTGCCATTCTCAAGCCACTTGTGCCTGACTTTAACCCTCGGAGTTCTGAAGATGCAGACAAGAAGAGAGGGGTGTCACTACAAGGACTACCACTACATCTTTCGTAGAGCTGGCTAAATGTTC